TGTATAATATATATAATAATATAATACTTTATATTATTTATCATAGATTAATATTCATTTTTATTATGTCCAAATATATATAATTTCAATAACAAGAAAATACAATTGTAATTATTCATTAAACAATTATTTATGAAATCATTATTCTGAAAATTAATTTAATTACTATAAAACGAATGTAATTATCTGTTAAATAATTATTCGTATTAAATTTCAATACCCGTGATATTTATAAATTTAACCTGAATATTTTCAATTTGAATTAAGTTATCATTTATTGAAATACTACCAGCTAAATTTGTATAATAAACACGACAATTATTATTATTTGAAAAACAATGAACGCAATATACAATTTTATTAACAACAATCTCATAATTGTTCCTATTATCTCGATGAAACAATATTATTCGCTTGAGACAATTTGAAAGATAAAAAAAACAGAAGACGAAAAAAAAACAAACAATATAATAAACAAACAAGAACGGATGAACGAGAACACGTTTGTTTTTTCCCCATTAAAAAAAGGTTTAATATGAGAGTGAGAGAACCTGTGGTGTTGAGAACAAAAGAATTGTGAACACGTTTGCAAACGAATTGTTGGACACACACAACACCCTGTTCAATCGTCCGCAAACACATTTCCATATCTTCAACTGAATGTTAAAAACAAAAGTAAATAAAAAATTTATATTAAGAAGAAAAAGATGAAAAAAGAAAGAAAATTATTATTCGTACAAAAAATGTGTGTGTGTCGAAAAACGAAGGAGCAAGGAATTTAAAATTTGCGGGCGCGGGAAATTTAAATCGGAATTCGAAACACTCGTAATCGATGAATCGTGCATGGTTTACGAGTTCGCTTGTTTAACGTTCATTTTTATTCCAACGTATGTCGACCTCGTATGGGATATTCAATGGAGATGGAATGTTCTATGTATGTGTATATATATATATATATATGTAAAAATATATGCATGTGCATGTAGTATATGTACATATATGTAATATCGGGGCTATACGATGATAGAATGGCAAAGTAGCTTTTCGATTTTCTCTTGGAGAACACGTTCCATCGTATTTTTATTTTTATCTCCTTTTCCCACTTATATAGTTTGCATTTTCTTTCTTTTATATTATATCTTGCATCTCTTTCTATCTTTCTATCTATTATACATCCATATATATATATTTCTTTTTCTTTCTTTATCTTCTTTGCATTTTAATGGAACATTTGACTTAGTAATCGCGTACTTTTTCTTTTGGTGTCTGCTTTTATATTTATAGTAAGAGTATTATTATTTATTCACTCTCATTTAGAGTATATCATTTATATAAAAACAATATCGAGTGTTCGTACAAATAAGAAATAAAATATTACGTTTGTATCTCATTATTATTTAGTACAGTTACAAACACAGTGATGAAAAACAAAGCTTCATCAAAATAGAATTACTTTTAATTTATATATTTAACATTCTTCTAGTATATATATATAATCGTAAAAATTCTTTTATAATTTATATAAAAATAATCTTTATAAAATCCTTCGTAACGACAAGAAAAAAAAGAAATATTAAATATAATGAATATAGAAAATGAATATACGAAAATATCTTTAGAATCACATAGGAATTTGTATTATTTCGATCGAATTAATCTCCATTCAATTTCGATCTATTGATGACTATATTCCTGCAAAAATCATTTCCGTATATTAAGTGAAATTCTATTAGTATTACAGTCATATAAATTACGTCATTATTCACGCGTTTAGCGTGAACTTATTATCTCTCTATCTCTCTCTTTCTCAGTTGAGAGAACATTTCAGTTTGAGCGTATGCATTTGCATGATTGCAAGTTGCACCGATAACCACGAACATATGCGTATATTCTCTTACACATACTCATTTACATACATCTGTAACGACACTTTGATGTGAACTTCCTACACATGAACAGATATGCACTCACAACTCACACATATGTATATTATATTTATATACATAAACATATTCATGTGTCATACATTCTGTTACTACTACTACTATTACTACTACTACTACTATTGTTCTTACTATTACTAATGAAACTTAGTCAGTGTGTGGTGCATGTGTGTATTGTGAAGAGAGTATTAATTACATTTACATATGTTACTAGAATAGGACTAACATAAGATATGTATATGTATATATGTAATTTGCGTATTCAAAGATATATATACATACACATGAAATCCTTCCAATGGATCGAGAACAATCTGATTTTAGTGAAACACTGAAACACTAACCTACCACAGCTGATTCTCACGTTTCCGAGTGGATATGTAAATATCGATAAGTATGCGAGTTTCGCGTGTTATGTGCGTGAAGAATTTCGAAAACAATTTTCAAATATTACCACATACGTATTGTATTAATATATTTATGATTAAATATACATTATTATAATTATTTTCTATACAAAATTTTTGAATTATTGAAATAATTTTTGTTTGAATTTTTTTAATCATTTATGTCAAATTATATTCGATCTAATAAAGAAAATGTTAATCCGCAATCAACTTTATATAAATTTGAAAGTTTAATAAATCATAAAATACGTTTTTGCATATAAGAATGATAAAACTGCATTATAAGTAAATGATTTAAAATTGACAGTAGAATTTAATACGAATATTCCTGTAACTTGTTATACCTATCTCCAAATACGTAAATTCATTTGTCACAGTGGTAATGATCTTAATCTTAATGATAACAGGAACAAGGATAATAGGTGTTGGATGCATGTAATTTACAGGTAGAGACATCTGTAACGACAAATGCATCTCAACGTAGTATTCTCATGCAATGGAAATGTTTAATCTAGAAATTGAAAGGACTAATGTATAAGATCTATCTAATTTTAATAATATATGAATTATTGAAACGGAGTATACGATTTTGCATATCGTTCTTTGAATATTATTGTTAAACAATAATGAATAATAGAAATTTTCTCTCTCTCTTTCTCTCTAATATATACGAAGACTTAGGATAATCAATGTCCAAATCAAATTTGTGTGCTAACTAATCAAACACGGGATATCTAGTACTTTTATGATATAGAATAGCATGGTGAACAGTTACACATATATAACATTCGTTAGAATTATTATATAATATATGTAACATAATCTATGCGGAATATGTATCTGTAATTGATTACGTATATGTTTCATTGTCAATGTAATTTGATTCTAATATATAAAATATTACTAAGAAAATAATTTATATTTTATTAATTAATATCTATTAACCATTCTGAGATAATATCAAATATAATATACACGTATTTTATACATACAAAAAATACAAAATTATATAAAATAAAATATATATATATTAATACTTTTGTTATACACAAAATATATATAACAACGAAATTAATATGTTAAAATTAATAACAAATATTTTAACATTACTATGTAAATAAAATTATATTAAAAAATTTAAAATACCATTTTAAAAATAAATATAACTTGGCCATAAGAGAATTTTTCTCATATAAGTTGAAAATANATAAGTTGAAAATAAACAAAAAAATTAAAATATTTCGTTCCTCTACCCAACATATATATATATATATATTTTTATATAATATATATATCGCGCGCGTATTTCTATTCCTTTTTTTAAATATAACAAATTGATTCTCCAAACCACTAATTAAAGTTAAACCATTTAGGAATCTTTAAGTGCTCTAATTCAAATGTCACACCCGGTTTACAATTATGTACACGTACTCCTATCTTTCTCTACATTTAACAAATTGATTACAGAAATGCTAATTAACGTATATACGAGTCAAGAGAATACGAGGTAAACTGGCTGCATAGTTGATTGATAGTAAGCATTGGATATCAAACTGACCATCCTACAGCATCCAACGCTAATCAGTGGTTAGCCATACTATTGAACGTCCACGAAACGTCCCATGGCCAAGAGCTTTGCTAATGTTTCCCCCTGGAAGTTTCTCTAACCTTTGAATGAATTAGTTCGAGCTATGTAAACGTTCCTAATCCCTTATCTAACACTAGAATCCATCTAATCAAAATTCAATTCATATTTCTTCTACACTACATTTAAAATCTTACATTCTGTAATTGATTTTGAGAATATGTTTCTTGTTAATTAGATTTTTATTCATTTCCACAATATATATATAATGTGAGTTTTAATTTAATCATTATGTTTTATTAGATTGTTTTTCGTTATTTAATATTTGATTTAGTTATTACGGATAATATTATAAGAGAATGAGAATAGTAGAATTGAATAATTTGTTTCTTTTCTTTTTTCTTTTTTCTTATATCGATTAATTTTATAACATTTAAATACAAATATTTTTGGTTATATTGTGCTACGTTGTTTCTTCATGATAATATATACATAGATTAATAATAAAATAATCTTATTGTTAAAATAAATAAATAATAAAATATAAAATATATATTACGTGAGTGAAAATTGAAAAGTTTTTAATCTGACATAGAAGCGATTTTTATTTTCGATTAAAACTTCTTTCTATTTTA